AACTCACAGAGATCCACCTGGCTCTGCCTCCTGAGTGCTGGGATTAAAGGCGTGCGCCACCACTGCCCAACATAAATAATTCTTATGTGTGGGGGTTAGGTGTACAGCAGTGCCAATGTAGAGGTCGAAGGACAAATTTCAGGAGCTGTTTCTTCCGTGTTTACATAAGTTCCAGGATCAAATTCAGGTTGCCAGGAGTTCACAGCAAGCACCTTTTTCTACTGAGCCATCTCTCAGGCTCACCATAGTGGCTCGTGTCTATAATTCCAGCACTTCTGGAGTTAGAGGCAGAACGGGTTCAAACCCCTTGGGTACACAGTGAGGTTTGAGGCCAGCCTGGGTGGCAAAGTTACATAATATTGAGACTTTAGTGACTGAAGTGGCCATATGCCTGGTGTCCTAATTAATGGAGGGCCAGGTGTCTGGCCATCCTGACTGTCACTGCCAGAATGGATTCTTCTCTTCCAATTGTCCTCATCTTGTAGGATTCCTGACATTTAGTGGGGACCATGTTTTCTGCCTCTGACTGCTTCACACCCACTGCAGGTTACCCATTCTTTGTCTTTCTACTGTTCCATTACTTCTGGGTCTTCACAGCAAGGGGCAGGTGATGAAAAGGGAGGAAATCACCCGGGCAGTGGTGGCACACGCCTTTAACATTCCAGCATTCCAGCTTGATTTCTGTTCAACTTCTTTTCCACTCTTTGGAGACAGGGCTGTACTCTATGCATTCATAGCCCAGTCTGGCCTAGAACTTATGACAGACATCCTTCTGCCTCAGCCTCCCAAGTGCTGGGATTATCGGTGGGGAGCGACCATGCCTACCTCCTTTTCTTTTCTATTTTTGTAGTGTGTTCTCTTGGGGGCAAGCCGGTGAACCCCAGCAGCCCTTGCTTAGTTAGCACCTTTCCCGGTAGACTGGGGATAAGATCCTCCACCATCAGGTTGTGTTGTTGGATCAAGTGGGGTCCAACATAGAAAGACCTGTGTACAAAAAAAGCAGTGAGTCGGGAAGACTGTTGTGATCTGGGAGTTCCCGCTGCAGAGCTGGGGGCTGGCTGCATGGTGCCGACACTTTTTTGCAGTTGGTTGCATAAGGACAACAGAAGTTACCACATACACACTCTGCTTTCTTTTCCAGTAGGACCTTCTCCTAATTCCCTTCACGCTCTTCCTTCATCTTAAAAGAATTCCCTTCCTTGCCCAGATCTTTTTTATTTTAATTGTTTGAGGATTTTATACGTGCCCATAATATGTTTTGATCAAATCCACCCCCTCTTCTCCCCTTCAACTCTCCCATAGATTCCCCCTTTTTTTTTTTCCTTCCCAATTTCAAGTATTCTTTTTTAAGCCGAGTCCACTTAATTCTGCCAGAATTTGGCATGGGTAATCCCCCTGGGGCTGCATCACTGAAGAAAACTGAGTCTCCCTCCCCAAGCAGCCATAAACTGACAATAGTTCCTCAGCTGGGGGTGGGGGAGGAGGAGTTTGTGGGCCCCTCCCCCATCCTCGGTGGGATTTTTTAGGTAGCTTGAGCTTGTGTGGGTCTTGCACAGTCATGGCTACTGTGAGTTGCTCATGAGTGCAGTTGGCTGCCACATCTTCAGAAGTCTCTGGTGTAGCCTCTCTCTCTCCCTCTGGCTCTTCCTCCATGATACCTGAACCATGAGCGTAGGTGGTGTGACAGATATCGAATCTGGGGCTGAGCACTCCGCCCACCGTCTCTTAGTCTCTTCTCACTGACCAGTGTGAGTCCGTGCATTGATCACCATCTACTGAAAGAAGCATCAATGGGGGTTAAGGGCTGCCTTGATATATGGGTATTAAGATGAGTCCTTAGACAGGATTTTAATCATATGTCCTTTTAGCAGGATAATAATAGTAGTTTCTTCCCTAGGACTTAGAATCTACCCACCCTGTTCTCAGCCCAAGCACCAGGCTTGAGTTCCGCTTGATGGGTCATCTTGCCCAGTTCTTTTCCACGTTTTTTTTTCATCTTAAAGATGCATTTGGAGCCAGGTGTGGTGGCGCATGCCTGCAATTGCAGTGCTTGAGAGGCGGAGACAGGAAGTGACAACATAGCCATGGAGTACATCATAGAAGGAGAGGGAAAGCATGCTCAGAATGGAGGTGGAGAAAAGAAAAAGGAAATATGATGCCTTTCTGAGAAATTGAATACTTGGACAATTATAAAAGCTGTATGGCTATACTCTGTGAGAGACTAACACTTAAAAAGAAGATGTGTTTTATTTTTAAGTGTGTGTGTGTGTGTGTGTGTGTGTGTGTGTGTGTGTGTGTGTGCATGCATGTGGGTGCAGGTGACTGAGGAGGCCAGAAGTGTTGACTCCTCCTGGAATGGGACTTGTAAGTGGCTGTGATCTGCCTGAAGTTTGTGCTGGGAACCAAACTCGGGTCCTCTGTGAGAGCATCAAGCACTCTTAAACCCTGAGACATCTCCTTGCCCTTGCCAAGCTTTTGAATTGGCCAAAAGAATACAATAGAAGTTATCA